TCCACGTATTTACATAGGTATTACTAGGTATAATAAGGGTATATGCATATGAAAAAAAGATGAGCTTAAATTAAGAAGAGGATCATATTCAGCTTGCATTGATTGGCGAAATGATTGCTCAAACACAATTAAGGCAAATTTAATTGATGAAGACAATCGATTTGCGGACTTCGATAGATGTCTCCGATCCATCTATCTTCTAAATAGTAAACTTCACTTTCTTATAATAAACATTTTATGCATAAAACGAATAATTCTGCTTACACAAAGCATTTGACAACATACATACATACATACATACATACATTTATCAATTTGGAGTCAAGTGAAAGCATGTAGAGACTGACATCTAAAACATGTTTACGGTGTATGTATGGTTCGCTTGGTAAGAGCTTAAGAGGAGCCCTTCCAGCTTCCAGCTTTTTATACAGCAACAATACGTCACAATTACTGTGAGCAATTACTTGGTCTCACAATCTAATCAGTAAGGACATGACGCAAGAAATGACGCACTTTTCGATGAATTCGTTCATCCCCTCGATAAACCATTGGAAGGTTTGAAAAATGGTGCAAACTAGTTTTCAAAGGCTACGTTTTCAATAGACTGAGTTGGAATCAAATTCCAGTTTTCCGCAATTGCCGACGACGCAATCCAAGCTGAATAAAATCCAATTGTTCTTCTATTCGTTTCGATAAAGAGCTGAGCATAACTTCGTGGATCGAGCATTCGAACCTCTAATGCTATGTAGTTGAGCATAAAGCTTACATGCAATAGGCAACTTTTACCTCTCGCTCTATGTGCTTGCATTGACAAGCAAACCTCAAAGTAAACTCGATCAATTGAATTCGACAGCGTGGATTATGGACTCGTAGTAACGAGTAAAGAGTAAAGATTTTACAGTTGTATGCATTTTGTCTTAAAATCGAATGAAAAATCTTTTGATGGGAAAATTTCTGCTAAGCAACAAAGTCAAATTATGATCGAGTTTACTCGATAAAGAGAGCTATACAAACTGATCTCCGTTCCCAGCCGGAGCCATCTGTTCTAGCTGCATAACGCTTTGCATTAGTGCCATTAGATTAATGTAGGCGATGCAGTATTTGAATGAATGCTCTCAGTGGTCAGCTCCCTTTTGTATTATATTGAAAAGATTCCTTTTTTTTTTTTGTTTTTTTTTTATTTTTTTTAGAGACTTTAGCAACTATCTTTGGATGATTCTGATGCATAAATGTATGTACACGCATAATATACATACTATAGATAGAGTTCAAGTAAAAATGTATATAAAAAAAAAGAAAAAGTTGTAGAAGCATAAATACAAATTTCAGCAATAGATATATGTATAAGTATATAAGATATATAATAATAATAATAATAATAATAATAAGAGGGTTCAGTTAGTTACAAAATTGTGTAGACATATACATATCTAGTTGTAAATTTTCATACAAATTAGTTGGGTATATATATATGTATATATATATATATATATATATGGGTATATAAAGGTGTAGATAAATGTATACATATACGTATATATATAGACTGTGTACATATTATATTACAAATATGCAGTAGAAAAATTTATAATAGAATATATTGGTCGTAGTGTGATTGTGAAAAGGATTTAGAGAAAAAAGTGAAAATGAAAAGGTCTGTGCGAGAGGAAGAGTGAGAGAGAGAGAGAGAGAGAGAGAGAGAATTATAAACAATGTGTGTTCGTGTTAAGTGAGGAAAAAGGAAAAGTTTTTTTTTTTTTCTTTTCGTTTAGAGAATTGCATGAATGTATGAAAAGGTGCGAGAGAGAGTGAGAGAGAGGGAGAAAAAGGTAAAAATCATGTGTGGTGTTAATTAATGTGCTCTATGAAAATAATTAAGCTTTAAATTTGGATTATAAGCAAATTAGCTAGGATTGTATATATATATATATATATAGATATATAGATATATATATATATATGTATTCAATAGGTCTCCTTATGGAGTTTGTTTAAGCGTTTTTTTAACATTTCATTTATTTATTGATTTATCATTATTATTATTATATATTTTTTTTTTTTTTATGGATTATTATGGATTATTAAATAAACACTATCCGTTCGGTGAGCCATTTAGATTTTAGGACAAATGTTTGTCAGAATAAATGCTTATATGCACCTTTTCAAGAAACAACAAACAGCAATGGAACTTTAAAATGCACAATAAGCAAAGATCATGATTTTCTATTGTTTTATAATTAATTTTTTTTTTTTTTTTTTTTTTTTTTAATATACACATTAAAGCACAATTGTGTTTGATTGATTTTTTTTACATTTTATATAAATCCTTTTTAAGTTGTTTTTCCTTTTTTTTTATATATATATATAATTTAATGATCATAAGACTTTGTGAAAATATTGTTAAGGAAGAAAATGTGTAAACAACTGTAAGAAATATATTAATTGTCGTTTATTTATTTATAATTATGCATAGCTGTCATCTTTGCTTCTGTTGTAAGTTGTACATTAAGATTAAGACGGATAAAAAGAAAAACTTTAAAACAATATACGATAGATTGGCCTATCCAAGGCATATATTGTTATGGGAGGGATCATTATTATTAACTTAGAGAAAAGTACGTCTCAAGTCGAATTGTTAATGATCACACACCATCTCAGCAAAGTTTCTGTATATATATATATATAATCTTTGCAAAAATCTTGCCTAAATTGTATCGATCGCTGCTTTCCCTTCCATAGATATTAAATTGTGCTTGGCGGCAATGTTTTGAAAGAATTCGTTTTTGTCTTTTCCCCAATTAGGTGATGTTGTGTCGCCCCTTTCTTGTGGATTAAAACTAAATTTATCAAGTTCTAAGTTCTGTTTACTATTTGAGAATACGAAAGAAAGACGAAGGGACAGATTAACATAACACGAACTTTTTCGCATTTCATGCCGACCATAAGCCTACTTGAGAAGTCTTTTTAGTCTTGCAAAGGTCTCCTTGGCGCAAGAAAAATTCATTAAAATTGTTGCCATTGAAACGTCTTTAATGTCAACCTTTGTACAAAGAACTATAGCTTCGCGGATAAGAACCTTGTTAAAATTATATTTTAATTAAATTTCTATAAGAAGAATAATTTGTTAGATCGCAAGTTCAAAAACCACCCCTTGCAATGCAAATAGAAATGTACATAAACTATAGTCCAATCGAGAGTTTTTTTTTTTTTTCCTTAAAAATTGGAACGGCTATGAAATCTTAATGAAAAATGTATTTGGAAGTGAAGATCGGGAAGTAGGTAAGGTGTTCACTAATTCGGCCCTCCTTGGCATCACTTTCGTCACTCTATTATCGTTTAGCGCTGCCTAATGATAAGTTGTTTGCAATTTGACTGAAAGTTTTTTTTCCTAAAAAAATCTACTCAAACAATCTGCTCGACTAACAATCTAGGGATCAGTTTTGTTGCCCTATAGAAAGAAATAGTTGTTTATGCTGTTGATGAATGGCAGATTGATCTATAGGCCCCTCATAAAGTACAGAAAAAATTGTTGCCTATGCCAGTAGTCTATGCGAATGATTTGAAAATTTCGTTATCTCTTCAACTTTATATCATCTGATCTGGCCAAATTCTATGTAAATGTCAAGTCTGTTTAATAGAATCCTAAAATCTCTGAATTATTCTCACTGGCTTTATGTTAATACAAATAGTATTCGCTTGTATGTAACTCTTAGCTTTTATTTTTCTTTGGTAATTAGTGTGTGTGTACGTGTATATGTGTATGTGCTTGTCTGTCCATGTAAATAAATTTTAAATTCAGCTTTATGAACTTAGAATTGCTTTTTTGGTGTTTTTTTTTTTTTTTTTTTTATTTATTTATTTATTTATTTTTTTTATCTCTTTTGTTTTTTTTTGTTTTTAATTTTGGTTTTTTCTTTACCTGAAAACGCAAGTCTTTGTTGTAATAATTACTGATTGCCACATAAAACGTTTGGATATAATATGAATACATACATATACAGTTTAAGAATGACTTCTGCGTGTGTGAGGTGTGTGTGTGTGTGTGTAGATGTGTCTTTATATGTGTTTGTGCATTATCTGATGTTTAAATATAATTTATTTATATCTAATAAACCTATGCAAAAATTCGTTCGATTATATTGAATGCTTTTGTCATATTGTTTTTTTTT